ATAGAGTAGCTATATAGAATTAGTTAATAGGGAATAGTAGGATTTAGTAAGGAAAGGCTATAAGTATAAAAGAAGGGGATATAGAAAGGAAGGAAGAGGTAGAAGAGGAAGAGGAGGAAGATATACTAATAAAGATAAAGAAGATAATATTAATAATAAAGAAGAAAAAAGAGAAAAAGGAAGAGGAAGAGGAAGGGCGCCTTTTATCCCTTACTAGCTACTAGCTAGTAGCTAGTAAGGCTCTAAATTACTTATTTATATAAAGTCTTACTAGCTATAAATAGAATTAAAATAATAACTTATTAGCTATATACTAACTAGTAAAAAATAATAATAACTATAAGTATTTAAATAGAGTATAGTTAAAATTACTACTTAGCCCCTATTAAAAGCTAATAGTTATAAAGAAAATATATTTATTTATTTATTAAATCTTATTATATAGTATAGGTTAATAATAATAAGAATTAAAGGTAACCTTAGGAGTACTACTATAATATCCTTTATAGGGTATACCTTAAACCTATATAGATAAAGTATAGGGTATTAAGGGTAAAAGAAGATAGTAGATAAGGATAGGAGCTAGAGACTCTTAAGGGAGAGGGGAGGTAAGGGTATTATAGAAGCTAGGAGGCTATAGTAGTAGTTAAGCTTAACTAGCCTAGAGACTTATAGGGCTAGATATAGCTCCCTTTAATATAGATAAAAATAGAGGGGAGGGGGAGGAACTAAAAGGTTAAGAGGATAAGAGGATAATAAGCTTAACTAGTCTAGAGATATATAGGATTAAATATAGCCCCCTTAATATAGATAAAAACCTAAAAAGAGGGGAGGTAATTAATATACTTAGCTAGCTAGAGTAGTATAGGCTAGATATAGGCTAAGATATAGATAAAAACCTAGTATATAGTATTAAGAAGGGTCTTACTAGACCCTTATATACTCTAGAATAAGACTATAAAGGATCTTATAAATATAGATAAGGTTTTCCCCTAGGTACTTTAGTTTTTCCTTACCCTATAATTAGTAGAGGTATTAGATAGGTTATTTAGCTTAATTAGTATATAAGAATTATTATTATTATTAAGATTTATTAAATTAATAATAATAATAACTTTATAAATATATTAATAAAAACTATTTTAAATAAAGTATTATAAAAATTAATTAATAATAATTAGTTAATATTATATATTTAAAATTAAATTAATTATATTATAAAAATTATAAAAAGACTTAAAAACTATATAATTTAATTAAAAAAAAAACTATTAATATTATATTAATAAATATTATAATAAATATAATTTATTAAATATAATAAATATTTAATAAAATATATTATATATAAAAATATATAATAAATAAAATTATATTATATATAATTATATATAATATTTAATTATATTATATAATATATATATATAATAATTATATTATATAATAATATATAAAAAAGTCTTAATATTTATAATTTTAATATAAAATATTATAAAAATTATTATAATAAGTAATTAAATTAATAAAACTAAATTATTATAAAAATATTATTATTATTTATAAATAAATAAAGTAATTATTTATAAGTTATTAATTATTAATATATATAATTATTATTTATTTTTTTATTTTTATAATTTTTTAATAATACTTAAAGTATTATTTATTTATATATTTAATTATAATCTTTCTTTTTTATAGTTTATTTTATTAGTTAATTAAGAATTATTATTATATAACTATTTTTATAAAGTACTTTTATAAATACTTTATACTTATAATCTTATAACTATTACTTACTTAGAATAGTAATCTTAATAAGGTATATTAATAAGTACTATTATACTTATTAGTAAGTAAGAAAATTAGGCTACTATTATAGTATATTATAATAGCTATAGTAATTACTACTTTTCCTTATAATTATTATTTTATTCTATTATTTATTTTTTTAATTATTTTTCCTAGTTAATATAGATTAAATAAAAGTAATAATAAATAGCTTAAAAGCTAAAAGAATAATCTCTTATTACCTAGTATATTTAGTACTTATCTATACTATATAACTAGATAGAAGATATATAATATAATAACTTTACTTTTTACTTTATATATATTCTATTAGCTATAATAATATCTTTTTATAAAAAAAAAAGTAATTATAAGCTAGTAATTAAATTATATAAAGTTAAAATTATTATAATACCTAGAATATTATTTAAATAGTTAAATAAGGTAGAAATTAAGAGCTTAATAGCTACTAGTATATTTAAATTTATAGAATTTAACCTTAAGGTTTATAAAGATATATAAATCTTTAATTTAAAGCTTATTAATAAAGTTAAAAGTAAAGAAATAAAGAAGAAGTATAAAAAGTCTAGAATAGTAATTTATAGCTTTAATAATTAAGATAAAACCTTAATTTTAATAGTATTACTTATAATTTAATAATTAAGCTAAAAAACTATTATTATTATTACTTTCTTAATTATTAAAGAAAGAGGTAAAAAATATAATAAAATAAAAGGTATTAAAAAGTAAATCTAATCTAAAGATATTACCTAGATATATACTTAATTAAAAATAATACTAAATAGAATAATTCTAATAAGGTTATTAAAATAACTATAGTATTAATATCTATAAGCTATAATTATAATAGTTCTAAAGCCTTTTTATAGTATCTTAAAAGTAAGTAATTACTAGTATATAATATACTTAAAGTATCTTCTTAAATAGCTAAGTATAACTATTTTAATATTTAATCTATACTTCTTTATTTTAAATAAAAGGGAATTTAAAATTATAAGCCTTTTAATAAATAATATACTTATTCTAAGTAATAAAGGCTTTATTAAAAAAGAAAATAAAGAAATATAAAAAGTAAATATTATTATAAAGTTAGAAAATAATTTAATAATAAAAAATCTATTATTCTTTAATAGCTACTATCTAGACTTTAAGAAAGATAGTATAATTATTATAAGCTAATATAAATAAAAGAAGAAACTAAAAATACTCTTAACTAAGAAAGAGTATACCTAGTAAAGAGTCTAAGAAGTATATATTACTAATATTTACTAGCTAAAAGTAGTATTTAACCTTTCTATAGCTACTTAATAGTAATAACTTAAAAAGAAAGACTTTAAAAAGCTAAGAATAAAAATTTAATAATAAATAAATAATTAAGAAAAAGGTATTTAATATTTTTAATAAACCTTAAAAAATAAAAATATTTATTTTTATTAATAGATTATTTATTAATAATAAAGATTTAAGCTTTTAAATAGGTTATATTATTATAATTAATAATAAAGAATAAATTAATAATAATAAATTTATATTTAAAAAGAATATTATTACTTAAATCTTTATAAAGTTAAAAAGAGTAATAAAATTAGCTTTAGTATTAGAATTATATAATATAGTTATAAAAATAAATATAAAATATACTATTAATTTAATAATTAATATAATTATAAAGAAATTAAATATTCTAAAAATCTTAATAATTATTTATATTAACTCTTTATTACTATATAAATACCTTATTAAGCTTAGAATAACTAAAAAGAAATAGCTAATAATTAATATAATAACTCTTTATTAATTATATAAAAAAAAAGAAGTTTATAAGTTATAATAGATTAATAATAATAATAATCTAATTAATATTATAATAAAGATATTATTAAATTAAATAATATAAAGCCTTATTTAATTAAATAAATTAAATATATAAATAAAGAAATAAGTAGAATATAAGAATAAAAATAAGTTAAAAGTAGTAAATTATTAAGAGATTAAGGTATTAAGGAATTTATTAATAAGAAAGTATATATATAAAGGGAAAGGAGGGCTCTAATTAGCTAAAAAGGACCTAGAATAGAAAAATAAAGCTTTAGTATTAATAATATTAAAAGAAATAGTTTTTAATATATTTATAAGTAAATTAGGCCTATTTATAAAGCTATAAAAAAAGAGTATATAAGTATTAACTCTATATAAGTAGGTAATTTAAAGCTAGCCTCTTATTAGCTAGTAAGTAGGTAGAAGACCTACTTTTAAGAGCTATAGACCTATTAATCCTAGCTATTAAGGAAGGTAGTGTTTATATTAGAGTTAGTAATAATTAATTATTAGGAACTAAATTAATGTTATTATTGCTTTTGTTATTATTCGAATACACCTTGATTCCAACATAGGCCATCTCATAACAGCCAGGCTTTCTCGTAACAGCCAGGCTATCTCGCAACAGCCAGGCTTTCTCGTAACAGCCAGGCTATCTCTCAACAGCCAGGCTATCTCGCAACAGCCAGGCTATCTCGTAATAGCCAGGGCAACAGCCAGGCTATCTCGCAACAGCCAGGCTTTCTCGCAACAGCCAGGCTATCTCTCAACAGCCAGGCTATCTCGCAACAGCCAGGCTATCTCGCAACAGCCAGGGCTATACTACTCTATTATAGCTATATTGCTATTTCAATATACATGCACTATCCTGTCACATATTTACCATGTCTAGCAAAAGTGGTGGGCACTCACACAAGTGCTGGTGCTCCATCTTGCCCTATAAGTGTCATAATATGTTTTATCGCACAGAGCACTGCCCCGATAAGAGGGCTTATCTCATCTACGCTTATCGTCGACAACCTCTCGTATTCTGAGACATGGCGTCGTCTAGTAACGCCAAAAGAAGCGGTCTTAGGCCACGAATTCGGCATCAATTGGCATATATAAAGTAACCATTCGTCTCTCATAGCTCTACCTAATGCAAGGCTGATTTCCCTGTTATCTTCGCTTTCTGTTATCCCTCTGTGAGCTGTGTTAGCTGCGCTGCCGTCTTATGTAACCATAACGATGCTCCACATGTTTAGCCCCACATTGGAGGGCACGTGCATTTATCATGTTAGGGCGGCCAGCCGCCTCCAGAACAACCACTGCAAACTGTTCCACCAACACAATTTACCTCCCTTCAGCGTGTTTAGGATTTATCGTACGCAATGTCCGAAAACGAGACCGAAAGACTTCAACAGGAGATAGCACAACTACGGCGTGAGACAGCACAAGCACGGCGTGAGGCAGCACAAGCACAGCGTGAGGCAGCACAAGCACAGCGTGAGGCAGCACAAGCACGGCGTGAGGCAGCACAAGAGCGAGGCAAGAACCAGAAGACCACGCTCGAGGAATACCTATACAACTGCCACTTCCACCTCTATCAGAAGCTCAACCTCGCCAATCTATCCCGGTGTACAACCGGAAACACCAGCGTGGAAGGGAAATACTACCCAAAGCGGCTATGTCGTTGGCACGAATTCGAGAATACACATTTACAACGGCACTTTAAGGTGATTCAGTCAGCATGTAATGGCAGGCGCCTCTTTCACCAAGAATCCACAACCATAGATCTGGGGTGGTCTGTCTTTCGAAAGCGGGCAAGCAGCGAAAACGACGTCGACAATTTTGAGAAGAATGCTGTGGAAGATCATGTCTGGGAAATCCTGCGGCCCGTATGGGACGATATGGACCTACGCACAGAATACCAGTGTTCGCAGATACGCTTTAGCAGTAACCGCCGCGATATGATGGCAGCAATACATCAAGGCCCGTCCGCCATAGCACAGGAATTTGTTGAGGATAGCCAGGGGCGACGGCGACGGCGACGAATTGAACCGAGCGAGCGGATGGCATCCGAGGAAAAAGTCAAGTCACCCCCAACGAGGCCTGACGGATGGGGCATCCGCACACATCCAGACGGAGACGAGAGTCATGCTTTCGCCTTTGAATACAAAGCTGCACACAAGATCTCGCCGGAGTCGGTCAAAGCTGCCGTAGCAAAGGAGACATTTTTCATGGAGGTTATTCAGCGAATCTGCAGCGACAAGGTCAGCACAGATGAAGCACGGGAAAATGAGAAAATGGAAGAGGCCATTGCCATGGCATTAACACAAGTCTTCGACTACATGGTCCGATACGAGGTTGCCTACGGCTACGTGGCCGCCGGCAAGTCTTTGCTGTTACTGCATGTTGACAGAGCCGATCTGCAGACGCTATATTGCCATACTTGCTTGCCCGAAGAAGACGTGGGGGCGGTACCTGACGGGGCCTTGACCGACGATACGCTGATGCACACGGCGGTCGCTCAATTGGCCAGCTTTTTCTTGTTGAGCCTGCGGTCGGAGGCTCTTCGGGGAGCCTCGCTCGAAGCGGCGTCGCAGAGAGCCTCAGCCACATTGAAGCCGTGGCCGGAGCCGTACGAAGATGCGGCCTGTGTTGTGGAGGTAGAGAAGACCGATTCGTCAAGCGACTCGTCACAGGAAACAGGTTCCCGCTACACACCTAGTGTGAGCCCGACCCCTCGAAAAACTCGGTCCAGGTCGTCCTGCAAAGCCACCGACTTAACCACAGAGGGCGACGACGAAGACGAAGACAACGGACCGGATAGGGGGCCAACTCGGCATCAACCAACAGTGGAGACCAACAATAAGCGTAAGGATGGCCCGTCAAGCAGCAGCTCAAAGGGCGAGAGTACTGAGATATCCTTCTCGGTACCTAGCAGGCAGTACTGTACTCAGGCGTGCTTGCTCGGCCTCAAGCGAAGCATGGATCTCGATAATAACTGCCCAAATGTGCAACTACACCGAACTCGAGAAGGATACAGCCGGCATCCCATCGACGCTAAAGCCTTCACCCACCTAATAAGTCAGCAGCTACGCCAGAATCCGTATCATAAATGCGACGCATTGGACCGGTCGGGCAAGAGGGGGTCGGTCGGGGTGCTCTTTAAGCTGGAGCTGGAGCCTTATGGCTACACGCTAGTAGGCAAAGGGGCATTGTCAGGCCGTCCGTATGACTTGGAGCACGAGGGTACCATCTACGCTAGGCTCGACAGGCTCCAGGGCTATGTTGTGCCTGTGCACCTAGGGCTTGTGGAGCTAGAGTGGGGACACCTTATTGCTGGCGGCATCCGAGTCTTTGATATAATGCTGATGTCTTGGGGTGGGGAGATGGTATTGAAAGCAGAGTTGCCGGGCCTTGCGAGGGAGGCGCAGTGCTCGTTGCAGGCGGTCTGGGCGGAGGGCGTTGATCATTGTGACGAGCGGGCTCCCAACCAGTTATGGAACGCGGAACGACAGCAGGTTATGATCATTGACTTTGACCGGGCTACCCTGCGGCCTAAACCGCAAAACAAACTACTACTTACAACAAAAGGGACGAAGAGGAAACAAACTGGAGGTGGTTCTAGACACAGCCAGAGGCGTCGCTTGATTGATAGTCAGACTTAGGTAGTATAGCTATCCAAAGTTAGGCATAGAGTATTGCTTTTTATAGCTTTTTATAGCTTTTTAAGGTAATAGACTATAGTATATTAAGATATCCTACCTTACAAAGTTTATATGTTTCTATTCTAAAAATTTAATTAAAACCTTATAAGCTTATAACTATAAAGTATTACTATAATTATATAAAATAGTAATATAACTAATATAACTTACTAAGAAATTATAAAAAGTAAGGATAATAAAGAAATTAGCCTTATATTAGATAAAGTTATAAATAATAAATAGTTACTTTATATATTCTACCTAGAGTATAAGCTTCTAGTAAAGCGTATACTTAGTTAACTTACTAGGTATTTATTTAGCTAGCTTATAAGATTTTTAACCTTCTAAAAGGCCCCTTTCTCTTAAAAATATTATTAATCTTAGTAAAAAAGAAATACTATTTAGAAAAAATAGCCTTAGTAAAGGCTATACTAGTATTACCGCTACTAAGCCTACTATAGGAAATTCATAACGCTATCCTCCTAGAGCTCCTAATATACTAGTAGTAATATAAGCCTATCTTTAATAGAAGGTTTATATAGTAGTGTATTTACCTATAGAACTACTTTAATAAGAGGAAGCCTAAGGATACTAATATCTATATTAAGAGGCTTAAGCTATAGCTATTAGCCTAGTTAGCTATAGCCCTATAGGTAATAAGCTAGTAGCTTTATAATAAGATTATACTTCTAGTTAAAAAGAAACTTAAGATAGGTAAAGAAAAGATCCTATTTATTCTAGATATTATAGTTATTAAGGATATAGGTATCTTCCTAACCTAACTATACTTTCTATATAGAATAAAGTATATACTTAGCCTATATATAAATATATATATTATATAACTTAATAAAAATACTATACCCTTTAAATAGGTTAAGTTTATATATTATCTAGAAAATAGATTCTATAATAATCTTAAGATATTTACCTTTTAAAGCTTCTATACTATCTTAGCCTTAGTCTTACTAAGCTACCTTTATTATAAGCTAGTATATAATAAGATAAAAGGTATTAAGTATATAAAGGTACTAATAAATAAGTATAGGATTAGTATAATAAATACCTACCTTATACTATTAGAAGTAATATTAAAAAAGCTTGCTATAGTGTCCACTACCTAGCAGCCTAACAGGATTAGTAAGTTATACTGGTAGTAATAGTCAATATATATAAGATAGCTAGGATACTAATTTTAAAGTATCCTATTATATCCTTTTATTCTCTCTTTATAATAACCACTATAGATTCTATATAGATATTTAATAATATTTCCTTTATATAGCTAGACTAGCTATCCTAAGTAATAACTCCTTATATAATATTATTATATAACTAGTTATAAGACTATTAACCTTAACTACTAGAGAATATCTTTAAAAAGGCACTAAGCCTAGTAATCTTAGGCACTTCTAATAATAATAATAATAATATACTATTAATACCTATAAAGTCTATAGGATATTAGTTTTAGCTAGTAGTAAAGTTAGTATTCCTTATATACCCTAAGTACTTTCTACCTATATAGGACTTCCTTAATAGTATTAAATCCTTTAGCTTTAAGTACTTTTATATAGTATAAAAAGAGTATAAGAATAAGATACTATACTTCTATATAATTAGTAAGTAGCCTTAAAAGTATAATATTAAGAATATTAAGTTCTTTAATATTAGTTAATATTACCTTAATATTTAAAAAATAAAGAGTTATATTACTATATAGTAATATCTTAATAAATATACTATAAAGTATATTAATAGTAATATATAAGAGCCTAAGGCCCTTTAGTAAGAGGCTAAGTCTATAATATAGAAAGATATAGTAACTCTTAAGGATAGATCTAGCTTCTTCTTATATCTTAGTAGTAAGGTATTATATAATCTAATTCTCTACTATAGGAATATCTAAGTATATATAGATAATCTATTCTAGCTACCTATACTAGTATATATACTTGTTAAGGACTAGCCCTAGGGTATTTGTAGATAGGTGTTATAATAGTATTAACTCTCTTATAGAGTAAGAGAGGAGGAAAAGCTAGTCTATCTATCTACTCTAGTATATAAAGGGGGCGCGCTAGGGGCGCGCCTGTGGTGGCCTTAGGCCAAGCCTAGCCCAGAGTAGGCTCGAGCCCGACTCCTTCACAATACTACCTATTTTAATAGGTAGAGCCTAGGTCCTACTTAATAAGATTAAGAGTTAGCTTATAGAAAATCTCTATATATCTTTATACTTAGTATATTCTAAGTCCCTTTATATCTTTAGTAAGATATAGCTTTATAAGACTATATAGGCTTATTAGCTTAGTATTTACTATTATATAAGTAGTTATTAGAATATATTACTATTTAATAGTAATAAAGACTATATTATTATTAATAATATCCTTTTCTTAAAGAAGAATATATAGAAGTACTATAAGTAGATACTTAGGTATTAAAATAACTTCTTTATAATAAATAAGTATATAAAGAAAATTAACTTTACTATTTAAGGTAAGCCTTATATATACCTATTTAAAAAGGACCTTTATAACTATATAGGTATTAACTATAAGTAGATAAATAATAACTATATATTTATAAACCTATAGGTATTATTATATATAAAGGGGGTATAAAAGGATAATATAGATTAGCTATAGCTAAATTAATTAAAGCTAGATAAAATAAATAATAATATTAGTTTTTAACTAGACTAGGGGTCTACTTACTAGAATAAAGATACTATAATATTCTAAACTTTAAGTATAGGTAAAATATAGTACTAAGTAGGCTTAATATTCTCCTTATCCTCCTTTAAGATATTCTCTACTATAATAGTTATAAATACCTTAAAGGTAGTAGTACCTAGATGCTTAATCTTAGTACTAGGCCTAGGTATATAATATTAAAAATAAAAGGTTTTCTTATTACCTAATTCTATTTTAATAGCTATCTTAACCCCCTATATAGTATTCTTATAGGTATCTATACCTAAGTAGAAAGAATAGAGCTACTACTTAAAAGAAAATAAAGGTATATAGAAAACTATAAAAAAGATATAGTTAAAACACTATTTAGCTTCTTTACTATACTAATATAGACTATTATAAGGTATACTACCCTTAGCTACTAGTAGCCTATAGGTAACCTTCTTTATAAAAGAGATAAAGGTAAAAGTCTTTTTAAACTAAAGCTATATAACTATATAAAAGGTATAAGTTTAGTTAAATAGGACCTAGCCTTTAATAGTTAACTAGTAAAAAATAGGATAGGTATTTATTAGATTAAATATATATTAATCTTATAAGAAAATACTAGCTATAGTAAATATATTATTAACTAGCTTAAAGAATATAAAAGTAATAATATATATCCTATTAGAAATAGTAAAAGTATTCTATAAAAGTATCTTTACCTTAAGATAAAGAATATATACTATATAGCTTTAAGATATATAGACCTTAAACTCTAACTTTACTATATATAAAAAGATACTATAGCTATCCTCCTTATAAGTATTTACCTAATAGACCTTTATAGTAAGTATAATTATACCTATATCTTAGTAACTAGTATATATATTAAAGAATAGCCTAATCTAATAAGCTATATATTTTATTAGCTATTATACTTATATAATAGTACTAGTAAAGTAACTAAGAGTGCTATAGTAGAATAGATAGTAAGATCTACTATAGTATTTATAAGGCATAGCTAGTAGTAATAGTAGTAATAGCTACTAGTAAAATAGATAGTAAGTATATATAAGGTATATCTAGTTTAATAGTACTAGGAAGAGTAAGAGTAAGGATAGTAGTATAAGGTACTAGAATAATATTAGTATAGTTAATAGTAATATATTATATAGAATATATCCTAATAACTATAAAAGAAAAGGGGTATTACTACCTTCTTTTAAAAGAGAAATTAGGCTACTAGGTAGTAAATACTATAGTAAGCTTTTTTAATATTATAGATAAGGTCTTATACCCTAGCTAAAATAAAAAGCTAGTACTACCCCTACTATATCTATAATAATATGCCTATTACCTATAGAGGCCCTACTATACTTAGGCTATCCTGCTATATAGTAGGGGACCCTATATATACAGCTTATACGCCTTACCGTAATACCCCTACTCCTAGACACTAGGACACTAGAAAACCATAGCTATAGTATTAATATAGAAGGAATAGTAGTAACTTTAGGATAGTCTACTAAGGAAAGCCCTATAATAAATAGGTTAGATACTAACTAAAGTATATATATAGAAAGAAAAGGGAGAATAGTAACTTATAAGTAGGTTATCTTAGTATTATATAATAGCCTATTTTTAAGGTAGTAAGAGAACTTAATATTCTAGCTACTTCTATAGTAGTTATTTATATTTATATTTAATATTTTTTAAAAAAGATTTACTCTTTACTTTTATTAGACTAATATTATAGGCTAGGCTCTACCCTAGCGCCTTCTATAATAGCTAGTATAGAAGAGAACCCCTATAGGTATAACTAGATAATAATTATACTAGTATTATTATTATAAATCCTTTTAGCCTTATAGTTAAAAGGGTTATAGCTATAAGGCTACTAATAGCTATAGTACTAGTTACTATTAAAGCCCTTATAAGGCTAGTTTATTATATATAATAATACTACTTAAGGTTATAGGTTTAAATTATAGTATATATAATTATATAAAAAGGGTTAATATATATATTTTAGCCTAGGCTTATAAGTAGTAGCTTATCTAGGGGATTAGTAGCCTATTTATTAATATACTAAAAAGAGAAAGTATATTATAAGCTAAGCTTTAGCTTAATACCTTTTATAATAGCTAGTATAGAAAAGAACCTTTATAAATATAACTAGATAATAATTATATTAGTATTATTATTATAAATCCTTTTAGCCTTATAATTAAGAGGGTTATAACTATAAGGCTATTAATAACTATAATGCTAGTTACTACTAAA